TCATGAATTTTAAATGAAAAAAGTCCTTCAAGCATTTTTGGATGTTCCTGCAAATTCTGAATTTTTTTTGTGCATTTATTATCGCAATTGTTGAACAAAGACAAAGTGATAAAATACTTATTCAGGAAATTTTGCATACAAAAGAAAATGAAAGGATATGGAGTAAATGTACATGGAACAAAATCGCACACAATACATAGAAAATTATCAATAAACAGGGCTTTTATTCCTGTTCTTCATCTTGACAGTTGATGTAGGGTCTTCAACAATGAACGAATCATTCATACCCTACAACAAGGTCAAGACGGCCGTTAGCGTCGACTTAAGCGGTACTATTGATAACAAGAAATGATTGTAACAGGATGCTGTTACGAAGTCTCCCAAACGAAGCTCCCATAATTCGTAATTCCCAGGGTCGCCTGACATTGGACAAAAACCCAGTGAAAATTGGTTTGGTCCAGTAAAGTTATATGCATTAGTGATGCCTAGGGACTAACCCTGTATATCATTCAAATCATCTTGGCATGACAAACCAGAATATATATGGTTTAGGGGTGGGGATCTCGACCATTTACAAGATACTAGAACATTGGGGGTGGGGGGAACCCCTGGGGACTGACCCTAAACGTCATTCAAATGTTCGAGACATGACGAACAGGAATATATATGGTTTAGGGGTGGGGATCTTGACCATTAACAAGATATTAGAACTTTCTTAAATAGCAGGGGGTGGGGGTGACCCCTAGGGACTAACTCTGTATATCATTCAAACCATCTTCACATGACAAACCAGAATATACATGGTTTAGGGGTGGGGGTATTGACCACTTACAAGATATTAGAACTTTCTTTAATGGCAGGGGGTGGGGGTGACCCCTGGGGACTAACCCTGTATTTTATTTGATGTGCTTTATCATGACAAACCAGAATATATATGGTTTAGGGGTGGGGATCTCGACCATTTACAAGATATTAGAACTTTCTTAAATAGCAGGGGGTGGGGGTGACCCCTAGGGACTAACCCTGTATATCATTCAAACCATCTTAGCATGACAAACCAGAATATATATGGTTTAGGGGTGGGGATCTCGATCATTTACAAGATATTAGAACTTTCTCAAATGGCAGGGGGTCAGGATGATCCCTAGGGACTAACCCTGTATATCATTCAAACCATCTTAGCATGACAAACCAGAATATATATGGTTTAGGGGTGGGGATCTTGACCACTTACAAGATATTAGAACTTTCTTAAATGGCATGGGGTGGGGGTGACCCCTGGGGACTAACCCTGTATTTCATTTCATGTGCTTTATCATGACAAACCAGAATATATATGGTTTAGGGGTGGGGATCTCGACCATTTACAAGATATTAGAACTTTCTAAAATGGCAGGGGGTCGGGATGACCCCTGGGGACTAACCCTGTATATCATTCAAACCATCTTAGCATGACAAACCAGAATATATATGGTTTAGGGGTGGGGATATCGACCATTTACAAGATATTAGAACTTTCTCAAATGTCAGGGGGTCGGGATGACCCCTGGGGACTAACCCTGTATATCATTCAAACCATCTTAGCATGACAAACCAGAATATATATGGTTTAGGGGTGGGGATCTTGACCACTTACAAGGTATTAGAACTTTCTTAAATGGCAGGGGGTGGGGGTGACCCCTGGGGACTAACCCTGTATTTCATTTAATGGGTTTTATCATTTAGAACATTTTCAATTAAAAAGATTGTGTCTATCACAAACGGTTTTCAAGTTATAATCATTTGAAAATTTTAAAAAATAAAATCCCATAGGGTTCTATAGTAAAACCCTCTTTTCTTTTTGCCCCTCAAAGTACCCCTTTATAAACCCCATTGCACAAACAAAACCCTGATTGCACCACTAGACATGTTAGTCTAACATATTGTCAAACCCTAAGTTAATCTGACAAGTGGTTTTGGAGAACGGGTGCGGACAAGTTCAAATTTAAAAGCGGCGGAAGAGGAAGAGGAAGAGGAAGAATAATAATAATAATAATAAGAACTGAGCAAAAACAATAAGTCTTCCCAAACTTCGTTTGGGAGACTTAAAAATAAACCACAGTTCACCTTCTTGCTCCCCACCCGCCTTGGAGTGCCAATTTGTGCGATGCTTGTGTACGACGGTTCTCCAGTCGAAAGCACCAGGGATACAAGAAAAGTGCAGTAATTTTGAAAGACATCAATAAATGTAATCAAATATGAATTTTTATTAAAAGAGAAAGCTAACGCAATTTTGGCAATAATAAAAACAATCTACAAATTTTTTAATTAAAAGTACTTCATCTGACATTTTTTTAGTTCAAAGTCTACAAATTCAAAGTTGCAATAGATGTAAATATTGTTTTTTAACATAGTCATTTTAAAAAGTAAATATTAAATTTGCACTTTGTTTTTGTATTTTACATAAAAATAAGGAGATGTTGTATGATTGCCAATGAGACAACTATCCAACACAGTCCAAATGATGTGCATATAAGCAATTACAGGTCACCGTATGGCCTTCAACCGTGAGAAAACTCACTCACTGTATAGTCAGATATAAAAGGCCTTGACATAAATGAATAATTTTGTGTTTATCCCATATGTGTTGTTCAATTCCAACTTATAAAAAAATAAATGGGGAATGTGTCCATGGGACACATATGATACCCCTGCTAGCATATCATATAAAGTTATAAAGGGACATAACTCAACTGTAAAAGTGACGCTACCCAAATTTGAACTTGATCTGAGTTTTGTGGTAATAAGTATTGTGTATAAGTTTCATAACATTTGGTTGAGGCAAACTAAAGTTAGAGAACGGAAACGAAAAATTCAGCAATTTTTCCATTTGTAAAGGGGCATAATTCTAGAATGGTAAAAATGACGCCCCAAAATTCAAACTCAATCTTTGTTTTGTGGTAATAAGCATTGTGTATAAGTTTCATCACATTTGATTGAGGCAAACTAAAGTTAGAGAACTGACTATTGGTAACTGTAATCACTTCAAGGATTAGCAAAGCCAATACTCTATAGTAAGTTATGAAAATCCATTGGATAACAAAAATAATTAAAAAAAGAAAAATAACCATCTGATTTATACTAAAGGAAAAACAGACAGACGGAACCAAAATAACAGATACTGCACTACAGGATCCTGCTTGCAAAACAAATACCTGTAAAATGGCAGATAAAAGATCCAGCATTCCTACAACCTCCATCACCCTCCCAAATAAAAAATTGAATGAAACAAAGATAATTTTTATTCATTTTGTTCGGATATGTTTGTATGGTATATAAAATGTCAGTACTCGGTAGCTCTGAAGTAAGGAAATCATAAATGGAACAAACATCACAGCATATATTCTGATTGGCTAAACTTTACTTGCTTTGAAAAGTAAGCAAGGCATATTTGTATAGTTCATTTTTCTTGAGGGAGGTTGTAAATGTAAAGTAAGCTTCCTTGTAAATGCGGCCATCAGGTGCAAAAAGTGTCAATTTTGAAGATTTTTCATCCTATTTCATGACCCAGAAGACTGAGGGATGCTGATAGATGTGTCACACTGTAGTCTGCATGTAGAGTGGACCCCAGTGAACAAATTGACCCCAAAAGTGCTGAGCTTGGAGTGAACCTGATCTAAGTTTGGTTGTCTAAAGAAGGTCATTTCCACCAGAAATCCGGAATTTGCAGATTTTTAGCTTCACCTGGACCTGTAACCGGAAGTAGTCGTTCCCTAAGCGTATTTCAATAATAAACATGAAAGGTAGTTATATGCCTACTAGTTGACACTATTTTTTAAAGTTAAGGCCTTTGTACTGTGTGTCCCAGACACAGAAGGGAAGCCCACCCCTCCAGAAAAACCAGTTTTATCTGATTTCAATTTACGAGGTTCATATTTGGGCTCAAACTGCACCTTAAACCTCAGAAAAATACCACTAAATAGTCTCAGGTTGAGGGAACATGCATCAACTTCGAAATACATACCATATAGTTGACCTCTAAAAGTATGGAGAGCCAAAAAACAGTATTTTGGGTAGAGGCCGTAATATTACGGCCCCCACATGGCAAGGTTTAAAACTTTTAATTTTACTTGTGTGTCTGAAAGCAGTTATACAATATTTGATTTTTCCTATTCTTAAATGAAACAAGTTGATGGTCCTTAACTGTATAGTTAGAACATATATATTTCACTATACATGTTTTACCTACTTGATCCTTACTGTAACTTTTCTCTTTCAATAGAGTTTTTACATATTACAGACTTTTGACTCCGGAGTATATAATTTTTTTGACAGGCTACCTACTCTGTGGTAGGACATTGTGGTACTCTTGTCATGAAAGAGCAATTAAAAGACGTAAAATCAAGCTGACAACTGGTTCAATTTGGGGAAAAATCAACTGTTTTAATTGTTATCTAAAGATGAAAATTCATAAGAAACTGTCTTTTTTTCCCAAATTGCACAGATTGTAAGCATGTTTTTACTTCTTTAAGTTGCTCTTAAATGAATGAGCACCAGACTGTCCTACACCACAGAAAAGGTAACCTGTCTAAAAATTATATACATCCGAGTCAAAAGTCGGTTATATGAAAATGGTCTATTGTTGTTCATTGGTTGGTTAGTTTGAATGAATGAGTTTAGACTGCAACTTGACAGTATTTGACCCATTGGTATTTTAAAAGGCTAAAGCAATGTTTTAAACAAGAGTATAACAGAAGGTATAAATTACAAGCTATTCCATAAGAGTTTATAAGACATAATTTGTGAAATTACTTGCTTTGTATGTACTCTTGATGCATGTTTGCACATGAGGCAATCACATGAGTTTGTGATAAGGAGACTGTAATTGTTACAAAGGGTATGTGATAAAGATTTCAGTTCAGGGATGTGGAATGGGTGGAGTTATGGGGGTATTCAGCACCGTAGTTATGTGTCCACCACAGGAGTAAGTACTATAAGATATAATAAATTCTGACACTTACCGACGACAGGAGGCTCTACTTCTCGAACTTTGAGTCTGTTATAAACTTTATCATGACCTTCACTATTAAAACCATATCTATAATGAATTTATTTTAATGAATTTGAAAAAGTTTTCTTGAGTTGTTGACTGTTCTATGCATTGTTATTTCATTTCAAAATAATTTCTACATAGGTACCCAAATGATGCAGAGTAGTGTTTTTTTAGAAATACACTTGCCTGTATAGTTGTTGGCAAAGGATACAGGATATCCAGAAAAAACAAGTAATATTAAAAATAAGGAAATGTGGTATAATTGCATACAAAGCAGCTTTTTTATGGACAGATTTCCGTAATATTTTTTGTTTAGGTTGTTTTAAAATTTTCCATTCCCACCATGATTTAAATCAAATTTGTATTTCTAGCATAAACTAAGATGTTGAAAAAAATAATTTATTTTCAAAAGTGATTGTGTAATTCTTATGCTTCTAATTATTGACTTTGAATTTGTTATACCAGTGCCAATCACTACAGATACCTATTTATAACTGCCTTATCCTCTTTCAGCCTGAACACTCTAGGTTTCTCATTACCAGGTTGTGGGTAAGGTGTGACACTGCCAACTTCTACAAAACTAAATCCCATTTTTAACATGCCATCTACAGCTTCACCATCTTTGTCAAAACCTGCAGCTAACCCTACTGGACTAGGGAAATCTCTGTCAAATACTCTCGATGCCTGAAAATATGGAAAACAAATTAAACATTTAGTTTTGGGTGTCTTATGTAATATCTTTGTTACTTTCTCTTTAATTTATCAAATTTTTATTTTTTTTAAACTCATGGTGATTTAAAGGTTGTCATATAATATAGTAACTTGTCTGTAGAAAGGTAGGTTGTATGTTGACCTCTGGATGTTTGTATGCTGACCTCTGGATGTTTGTATGTTGACCTCTGGATGTTTTTTTAATTAGTTGTACTGTGTTGCTGCCTATTGATATATACATGGTGTATACATAAATATTTTGTATTTGGTTGCTGCATGAAAGGATTTGTATAGTCTCACTATACAAATCCTTGCTGCATGTACATGGGAGAAAATTACCCGTATATCAAATTAGTTGGGGCTTCTTTTTTTCCAACTCTGAACAACATAATATCTTGAAAGTTTATAAGATACTGTTCAAAGGGAAATAATCCTTACATATTGATTGTCTTCACTATCAACTTTCATGTGCATGCACTGACTATTCGTTGTTCTATTATGTTGTATTTTATTATTTTATTGTCATAAAAAAATATCATTTTAATCAATGTATGAAATTTAAAACCCGCAAGGGTCCATGATTGGACAAATAAAGAATTTCTATTTCTACACTCCACATCTACTCTTATAAATATTTGTAAGTGCTAATAACATCACTTGAATTCTAATAAATTACATGGAATACATACAAAGGTTCAAGAGTAAACATAAAACAAAATACAAGCTTTCAACTGATAAACATTTTCATATATATAAAAATTTGGAGCCCACATATACATGTATATATAAAGATTTGAAGCCCATGAAAGCATTAAATATACAAACCAGTACAGGATGTGGTGGAATCTTTGATTTGGGTACCAGTTTATACTTTGCTGCCTTCACTGCCATCTTGTGAGATGTTTCAGCATCAAACAATTGAAAAAACGGCATTACATACTCTTTATAAAACTTCTCATTTCCTTTATATATCTGATGTCCAGCAAACATAACAGTACCGCCAGTTGTAATAATAAAGGCATCTTTCAGCAATTTCTGATGTAAAAAATAAAACATTGTGGTCAATGAAAGTTTCCATATCAACTGAAACAATGTCATGATAAATGTAAATCAAAGTATTATTGGTGCTGTGATCCAGCCAATATTTTCTGATCTTATTTTCCAATATTTTTTCCCCTTTATACCAAAGCCTGTAAAACATTTCAAGACTTACTATTGGAAAGATGGAAGTATATATAATATTAAATGTGCAAACTTTCAAATCATATTCTCAGGCATGATCATGATGATGGTGATTTAATATTTAACACTATTTTAGTTTAGAATTACATGTATAATCATTTTGGGTTTAGAAAAATAATCATTTCTTTCAGTTGATAAAATTAGCTTAATTAAAGCCACTGTGTCAATGTCTGAGGGTCACTTAATTTCATACAGATTTGATTTTTTGTCTTTCTTTGAAAAAAAATACATCTTATTAAAAAACTTTTACCTTTCATTCAAATAAGAGAAATGTCACAGGTCAGAGAGAAAACATAATGTTAATATGGCCATCTTTGGAACAATAGCACTATATTTTTGACAAGATAAATGTATAACTTTTGTTTAAAGGGGCATTAGCTGTCAAAATCATGTTGACCTATTTGACTCAAATTCTCAATTTGATTTATAACATACTAAAACTTATATCCAAATTACAATAAGTCTGAAATAAACAGTAAACAATGCATGTACTCGATAATATTTATCAGAATTTAATGTGAGTTTAATCTAGACGCCATCTTCACTATCCAGATGACCTCTGAAGACTGCCGACGGTCACATAACCCGATATAAACATAAATATAAATAGATAAGTGACCTCGTGCAATTGGATTTTTTCATGTCTGTTTGATTTCATGTTATAGGTTAAAAAAATAGGTTAATTATTGTTTTTACCTGTATAAGAATTTTTTTTTGTAGATGGAATCAGTCAACGAAATGGTTCACCTTTGTTTCCATTTCAATGTTGACATTCTTTTCCTTTTAATGGCTAAACATGACTAAAATATGCGTAACCAATCTCTAGCTAATGGGTTAAATTGAAGGTCACATGAATACGGATTAAATGAGGTCGAATTATTCACTTGCAAGTGAATAATTCATCAGCAATGTTTCTTAGCTTATTTTGACAAAATTGGACCAAATTGGCTGCTAAAAGCGAATTATTATTTCATTATATCACTTTTATTAATGATTGACCTAAACTGAATCATATTCTAATTTTTTTCTTATCTCGTAGCTAATGCCCCTTTAAAGTCAGGTATTTTAAAAATTGTAACAAATTCCTAAAGGCTGATATGTCTTCTATTCAAATCACACTTACATTCAAGGTGAGGTAGTTCATAAAATTGTTTCCAGAATAGAGTCTGAGTGGATAGAGCCTATTAGAGGGCTTGATAAAGGATTCTGAGGGGGTGCTAATAAGAAAATCACTCCAGACACAGAATACCAAATGGGATAAGGCACACATACAGTGAGCTTTAAGCAAAAACCGCATGTACACAGCAGGTCCGTGCCGTGCAGTGAGCTTTGTGCAAAAACAACATATAGGTCCCTGCCGTGCAGTGAGCTTTAAGCAAAAAATAACATGTACACAGTCCCAGCCCTTTACACACAAACTATAAGTACACTAAAGAGGCTAGGTTCTGGTCTCCAATATAAGGAGTTTACTTCACACTGAGTCCCTAAGTGGAATTGCTACAGACCTTACAAGGTACTATATAGTAACTGCAGACTTGTGATTGGAAAATCAGTGCACTGACCACTGTAAGTAATGGTTGCACTTTTCATTTTATAGTGAATGTCATCTAATAAAAACTGGAGAAAACATTTACCAAATTACCGGGACCTTTCTTAGCTGCTCCACTCATCTCAGTATTTGTTATTTATAACTGTAATAAACGGAGAAAGTTAACCCAAAGTCATTTTTTGATGTTATAAAACTCAAGAACATGTAAAGCTATGAGTAAAATAAAGTCTTAAACAACTCATAATTTTATAAATTTGCGTGGAAATTCTTTTAAAAAATTGAATCAACATAAAGAATATTTAATTCTCAAGTTCAAACCTAAAAATTCTCTTCAAAATATATTTTTTTTAAATTTTATTGTCTTCAATATCCGTAACTAACTTTCCGCGAAAATAGCTCTAGAAACCAAACGTCCAGCATGACAGCTTTTGAAGGTATACTTAGTAATCATGCATTTGTTTTGTCAATTATTTTTCTTCAGTATAAATATTGTACCAATGACATCAATAAATAGATAGTTTAACATGCCTAGAATGATTCTAAAATTGATGCCGGCGAAATGTTTTTATTTTTAAACATGGCAGCTCCCATGAAACCGGTGTAATTTCTCAATACGAATGTAATCAATATAATAAAAACAGTAGGTATTTCATTCGTGACTGTTAAAAAACCTGTGAAAATGTTGAAATTTACGTCTTTTCTTCTTTAAAGGGAAACTTCGCAAAAAAATAAAAAATTGATATTATGTCCATTCTGTATAAAAAAGCACAAATTCATAAATATTAAAGTTTTATTCTGCTAGATAAGAGATCACCTCGATTTTAAATTTAGAGTATCAATTCTCTGCGTGCGGCCATTTTGACATCTTCTCGGTTTAGAAACCACGATATATCTATAAACCACAAAGGACCAAAACCAGCAGTAACCTAACGTAGTCGCATTTATCCGACTAACTAACTTGATACGGAAAATGTTTATATTATTTTTTTAAATAACTATGGTCTGTCGCTTTTAAACTGTTTTTTCTTTACGAAGTTTTTGAAACAAGAAATTTATATGGGAATTAGTTAAAAAGTCAAAGTTCAATGTCATAAATAAGTGTTACGTGTAAAATCGTTTTCGAAAATCTAATTTGTTCATAATCCTTTTATGTAATAAACTTATTTAAATAAATTCGGACCTTCTCTTATCTGATCACCAGCATGGCTAAAGGAATTATTCCCTGAGGTATTGTGAGGTGACACGTCCAGGTATTCAAGCGATTTCCTGTCGGGCTTAAAAACTCTTATTACACAATCACATAAAGCATGTTCATGCATCGCTTCACTTCTGAGGGTATTGGTCAGTGTACACAGCCGATAACTTGTAACTTTCCATTTTGAAACTATCAGGGGTATAATATCTCTGTCTTGCGTGTCCGATAGTGATATACTAGTCATTACTAAACTCATACGCTTGTTTATAAATAACATTTCTGGTGTAAAGAATAATATTTATGAAAATATTAATAATTCCCAAAAAAGATTTGATAAAATAAAAATCTATTTACATATTTTTTCCAAGGGTAAATTAGGGAAAATGTAAGTATATACTCGTTGTCAATAATGATGGACATTTTGAAACATGAAAGACTATTGATTTAACAAAAATGTACGCACTTGTCGATCATTGGTTTATACGCCTAGATAGAAAGTTACGGAACTTTAGATAGTCGCAATTTAAAATTGTATATTGAATATAAGAAAGAACATCCAGAACCAATTTGATTTAAATACAGGTCGATATCTAACTTGCTTTGGTTCATCGAAGTTATGGACATAGTAAAATCACAGATTTATATTTCAATTAGATTGTTCTCGAACAGTTGAAGAAATTCGTCATCATCTCAATTGTTGGGTATAATGTATATTCTAATAGAACCTTATTCCAATTTTCCTGTTCCGACATGCATGTAATTTATATGCCACTGGACGTTCACTAATGATCCTCAAAAAGTTTATTTGAAGAAATAAAGAAACTTCACTCCGGATAGACTGATAGTAGTTGTATTAACGTCTGATCAGCTTGAGGGTTGATTAATTTATTACGTTAGCTTGGGGAGAATAAACCATTCCCAATATTGCACTTATGCATAAAATATTAAATAAAAGTAATATAAGAGAAAATATAAATACGAAAAGTCGCATATCTGGTAAAAAAAAAGTCTCACCAACTATAGGATTTTCACGTACAATTGTCATTATAATCGAAATAACGGACAGTCATTAAAATACATGCATGTACGTTTTGATAAAAAGGGGTGCCGCAGTTGCATATTATTCATCATAAATCTATTTCAAGTTTATACTTTCCTGTTATTCTTATCAGTTAACGCAGAGACATGTAACTATACATCTCCAGTTAACGACAATCGACTATATAAATATCTGAATCTGATGTGACTTACCGTTCATCTCTAGTGGTTCATCTCTTTCATTTTTTTCTTCTTCTTTTTTTTTTATTTGGGCAGGAACATAAACATTGTTAGATATAATGTTCCCAGGTTTGAGGGGGGGGGTTGGGGGTTGGAGGTCAAGTCTATCGAAAGTTACAAAATAAGAACGTTGTATTTATGAATTTTCAAAAAGAATTCTGTTCTTGGACGTAGTTTTCTTCTTTTTTTTTTTAGTTCAGTGATTTATTTATGAGAAAAAATCTAGTCAGAATTTAAATTGTTCCGGCAATCCCCCACCTAAGACTCCTCTAAAATCATGAATGGTCATGCTTCACAATCATCAGAATTTACTTTGCATTGGTATATTCTGTATCGGTAGTGATTAACCTTGACATTTCCGGGTATAACAGAGCTACTTGTATATTACCTGTATGTGGTTAGGTACATCGTCCCATGAGGTCTTACGTATACAGGTTCACATTTATAATGGTTTCTGATATAACAAGGTTTTATGACATTCACACTTCTGCATGTTCTGTATACCAGTTTCTTATCTTATTTTCAGACCGAATGAGGATGTGAATATTTTCCAGGAAAAATATTGAGTATCAAAGTATCAAATTAATTTCGGGATTTTTTTCTTTCTTGGTATTAAATCACAGAAATTTAAAGAATACTAGTATACTGCTTATAGATATTAGAAGATGTGGTATGAGTGCCAAATGAGACAACTCTCTATCCAAGTCACAATTTATAAAAGTAAACCATTATTGGTCAAAGTACGGTCTTCAACACGGCAGCCTTGGCTCACACCGAACAGCAAGCTATAAAGTGCCCCAACAAATTACTAGTGTAAAACCAGGAGTATTCTTGTCAGTTAAGACAGACATATAATTATATGTATATGGACATAGACATGGTTTAGGAATGAATGATAAGTCTTGCAAAGGCACAAGATATAAAGCACATTGAAAATTGATTCCGCCGGTCTGTCTCCATTCAATTAAGGAAAGTTGACGTTAGATTGATTCTGTAATTTTTTTTTAAACATCGTTGGTCAAATAGCTAAAGTATTTGTTGTGAGATGTAGAATATTTTAATAAGGACATTCCCGATTAGGTTAATGTAGATCGCTTTGGACGGACCAAACTATATTAATGTAACTGATAATGTTCTCTGCACATTTAAATACTCAAGGTACCGATGATAATTCAAAACAGCACAGTTTTTGGTTTATACGCTCGTTTTCGTTGGCCATTTTTATTTATAACATTATTGCATTGAAAGTTATTCAGAATTCCGATGTTACAACAAAATACTCACTCATCTATTTAAAAACTGAGCTAACGCAAAATATAAAAAATATATATAACGGCGATTCAGGTATTTTGCCACCATATTCCTCCCCAAATAATTATTTTTTTCTGTCTCAAACCCACATTTCTCTTTTATCATTTTTTTTTTATCTTTTTCAAACCGGCAAATAATTTTTGTTCGTAATTATTCGATCTCATTCCAATAAGACAAAGTTGACCTTAAATTCCTGTCAACTTTTTAAACATCTTTCTTCAAATGGCTGAAGTATTTATACGTTGTGAGATTTAAAATATTTTGATAAGGACATTAATTCCTGAATATGTAAATAAAGATCGCTTTGGACGGACCAAATTATATAATTGCAATTGGTAATTATCTATTTCAAATATGCAAGGTTACCGATTCTAATTTAAAATAGTACAATTTTTAGTTCATACACTCGTGTTTAGAATGCCATTATTATTTATTCAATTAAATTAATTCAGTATTTCATTGTTACAAAAATATTCAGCAGTCATAATTCATTTTAAACTGAGCGTAGGGAAAATATAAAAATATACCACCATATTACTCCCCCAAAATAATTATATTTCTTTTTTTATTTTCTGTCTCAAACTATCACTCCCGTTGATCATTCATACGAAATGATGTTCACACCTGGAACGCCGGGTGAACCGTGACGGCTAAAATTCACTGAGTGAAGATCAAAAGATTAGAATTACAGAATGCAAACCTTTAAATACCTTGAATTTAACCACGCATTCAACAGGTAGTCACTAAGTGTCACAGTACAATACACATTGTATTAATTTTACACAGTACTAGCGAGAAATGTTTGCTAGACTGAAGTAAAAGGTGAGAATACAAACATTCATTTTTAATACACTATCAGTTGTATATGTTTGTTGAAAAGATCCGTCGGAATAAAAATTCATAAAAATATTCTATTGTATGATTTACTTTTATTACTATAATGACTATAATCATATCAGAAATCCTTAAAATATAAATCGTACATTTTATTTTTAAAAGTTGCACGACTGATCACTTTACTTTCTTAATTATTAGTTGGTTAATAGCTACGCCAAAAGTCGTTGATGCGCTTTAAATCGCGTTATTAGATGATTAACGAACAAGATTTAAATGAGATTAATTCCTCTCCCGGCATGCAAAAAGACTTAAACTACGTCACATAAGTCAGGAAGTTCGAATAAATAAAATTAATAACTCCCAATTTTCTTCTTTATTAGTTTTCATATCCAGATAAAACTTGGTGAATATGTTTTTTATGGTATTATGAACATAATAAGATGATAAGTAAAAAATCGCGAATTTTCCCTTTAATTTAAATTATCCCTCATTGCCTTAAGGTTCATCAAAATGAATTTAAAAATTTGGCTTTACCACAAAATCTACTATGAGTACAGACAAACTGATGCATACATTGTATA